CTAGTCATTTGACCACCAACATTCTACTTTCTGGTTGACTGTTATAAATCTCAGTTACAAAATTGTATTTGAACTAGCTAGTCATTTGACCACCAACATTCTACTTTCTGGTTGACTGTTATAAACCTCAATTACAAAATTGTATTTGAACTAGCTAGTCATTTGACCACCAACATTCTACTTTCTGGTTGACTGTTATAAACCTCAATTACAAAATTGTAGTTGAACTAGCCAGTCATTTGACCACCAACATTCTACTTTCTCAGTGCTCACTGTACGAACACACAAAACGCCAGAAACTCCTTTCCAAAGCTGTTAAATCATTCTGAACAGACTTCACCTGCCACTACAATCTGCGTTGTAATCTGAGATCGGTTTCATTAAAACATTCCGAACAGCCTTCACCTGCCACTGCAGTTTGCGTTTCAATCCTAGATCGGTTTCTTTTAAACATTCTGAACACACTTTACCTGCCACTGCAGTATGAGTTTCAATCTGGTATTGGTTTCGTTATAACTAATAAACATTTATGAGTTTTCCTTGACATGGATAACGGTTATGTCGGGCCTTTCTAGAAAGAGAGTGCATAATATAATTTCAGCCGCACCATGTCTGCCATATCTATTTTCGACGAAGCGTTTCGCTCAATACCCAGAGCTCATCAAGTTTGGTGGGATACAACAAACATAGCTGTGGTCGGAATGCAGATAACCCTTGTGTGGCTTTGCACGAAATTTTGGAACAAACAAGTTATTAGTCTACATCATAAAAATGATTAAAAACCTTTGTTAGAGGGTCTTTTTAATACCAGCTTATTATAACAACCGTTTCTTAGCTATTTTAGACCATCCAAAGAAATGAAGTTTGGGACTAGATTTCACTCACAGAAATAAGTGATTACTACATATATTATAGGTCATTGAAACGCCAGGTTCGTGTTATAGGAGAAACTTGAAGATTTCCTTGACGTAAAACAAAGCTTCTCGCTGAACAAAGTCAGTCGTGAGATATGGAAATTGCTATGAAAAGAAAACCAGAACCACGAGTGGCTGGTTTTCACTTAATTGGATGAAGTGCATTGTGATGTAAATTGTATGGCTATCAGTCCGTTTTCAGCTGATATGAACTTGTCGTGTCTGATAACAAATTATAAATAAAACCTTGATTGACAAGAATTCAGCATGGATAGAACTTAATAGAAAATCATAATTAAAATAAGGATCTTTAATAATATTTTCGTTTATTTAAAATAATATTTTCAATCTTTCAATTAAGCTGATTGGTATGATAGATTCTTTTATAACGCACGCACTTGTTACATTATTAATATCTTATTAAACTGCACATTTGTTACAGTTTCTTACCTATCATACGCACACTTGCTACATTGTTACTCTTCTGTTACACGCACAGTTGTTATTTGTTACTCTTGTAACACGCACATTTTTCGCATTGTTACTCTTTTATAACGCACACACTGGTTAAATTATTAATATCCTATTAAACTGCACATTTGTTACAGTTTCTTACCTATCATACGCACACTTGCTACATTGTTACTCTTCTGTTACACACACATTTGTTATTTGTTACTCTTGTAACACGCACATTTTCGCATTGTTACTCTTTTATACCGCACACTTGTTACATTATTAATATCCTATCAAACTGCACATTTGTTACGGTTTCTTGCTCTTGTAACACGCACATTTTCGCATTAGTACTCTTTTATAACGCACACACTTGTTACAGTTTCTTACTCTTGTAACACGCACATTTTCGCATTATTACTCTTTTATAATGCACACACTGGTTAAATTATTAATATCCTATTAAACTGCACATTTGTTACAGTTTCTTACTTATCATACGCACACTTGCTACATTGTTACTCTCCTGTTACTTATTATTGTTATTTTCCTGTTAAGCCTACAATTTTTACAATGCTAGTCTACTGTACCGTTCGTACTCCTTACATTGTTACTTTCTTATAGCATTCACACTTGTTATATTGTTGTTATCATGTAACACTAACACTTGTTACGGTGTTATTTTTCCGGTAACAAGCTCATTTATTATGTTGTTAGTTATTTTCTGTCACAGTTACATATGCTACTTTCCTGGAACTCGCAACATCTAATTGACAATTTCCCCTGTTTCTGAAGACAGTGAATACGAGGAAGTGGGTGGGCAGCAAACCAGGTTCACCCCTGAAGCTATCGAAAAATTATGTGAGAACACTAAGTTCAACAAGCGGGAGTTACAGCTCATGTACCGGGGATTTAAACAGGCAAGTGATTATGTACTGGGAAGATTGATTTTAGGCTGGAAGGTTGGTTTTAGGATAAAAAAACTGTTAAATTATTTGTAGTGTATTGCAATTCAACAGTTTGTAATCTAATACCAACCTTCCCAGCCTCAATACACTACAAATAATTCAACAGTTGTTTTTATCCCAAAACTAGCCTTCCCAGCCTCAATACACTACAAATAATTCAACAGTTTGTAATCTAATAATAGCCTTCCCAGCCTCAATACACTACAAATAATTCAACAGTTTGTAAACTAATACCAACCTTCCCAGCTTCAATATGCTACAAATAATTCAACAGTTTGTAATCTAATATTAGCTTTCCCAGCCTCAATACACTACAAATAATTCAACAGTTTGTAATCTAATACCAATTTGTAGTGTATTGAGGCTGGGAGATGGTATTAGATTACAAACTGTTGAATTATTTATAATATATCTAATGTATATATGTGTGTGTATGGATGTGTGGAATTCTCAGGTTGTCATGATTACCCTCAGAGTAGCTTGCAGGAACCGCAAAAACAGGAGGATTCCTTATGTACTGTATTACAGAACAATGACTGGATTTTCTCTGCCTTTTGCCGAATCTTTACACATACGAAAGAGACTGGACACAGGGTGTAAACAATCACAGTCTTTATTATAAGATCACAGCTTTATTAATGCCCTCTCGCCATAGTAGCTCCAGCCATTTGTGTTAAAGCCAAAGTTGAGTTAAACAGAATCTAGATGTCTGGAAAATAGCAGCCGCTTGAATATAACACTCTATCTCAAACAAAGAATCTCAATAATCCATATAGCCAAGGTATATAGATCTCTATTATAATCTCTGACCAACTGGCAAACTGAGAAAAACGTGATCACAAATATAAAGTTCTCTCACTCCAAGCGCATGCACCATCCACGTGACTGAAGGCCACTTTCATGTCAACAATGAATGTCACACCCTTGGTTCGCCGCTAGAGCAGATCACTGTTTCTCTTTGTAGCATCTGTCATGTTACAGTCTCTCTTCTAAAGGAGAACACAAGTGGTTCATCCAGTCCTATGAATTAGTGATATGAGAGAAGTTAGTAATTTCCTTGACCGATATTCTAGTGTAAGAATAAATCCTGAAACAAACAATGAAATTTTGAAAAATTATATAGCAGCTAAGAAGAAGAAAATGCATAATGTGCTCGTATATTACTGACGCATTAAACCTTGTGAAACGTTTTATCTCAGCTCAATATTATCAATTGACGGTAATCGTAGAGCTGAATCTTGTGGGCGTGGGGTTCACATAGTTGTGGAGCTGAATCTTGTGGTGTTCATACACAGTTAGAGCACTTAGACACTTAAAGTTAATGAGTTTTTAAAATTTTTTAACAATATTATAATATTAAATATTTGCTGTATTTTGTAATCTATATATCTATCTTTTTCTCTCTATATATCTATTCATTTATCTATTAAAAAATTTTATATTACAATAAAATACACGATAAGTACAAAAGCAACATGACATAATTTACAATTTAAAATGCAATGAATTAGACTAAGAATACAACAAAAGCAATCAATATATAATAATATTTAAATTAATTAATTTACAATTAAATATGCAATGCAATAGACTAAGCTAGGACTAATTTGATAAGTGTACTTCTAGTTTCAAGATTTATCAACAGTGGAAGAAGAACATCAAAACTAGAAACTACGTCACTGTGATCAATATTCATGACGTGTCATCTTTACTTTCTCTCTCCGCAAGGCTGGTCAAGTGTTAATCACCAAACATGGCACTAAATGGTCAGATTGGAATAAATTAGATAATGAATGAGGATTGGATCGGAATCACAGATGAGGTTACGGTCTTAATCATTTCCATATTAAATATTACACAAAAAAAAAGAATCACGTGATCTGAAACTTGTAACTAATAGTCTCCATCTCAAAGATTGTTATTCTATATTTTACAAGAGGTTCACCATGATACGAAAGACGTTATAATGGCCTCATGGTGACCTGCTTATATAATCTCTGTGTCAAGGATTGCCTTTCTTATACTAATCTATATTTTACAAGAGGTTCACCATGATACGAAAGACGTTATAATGGCCTCATGGTGACCTGCTTATATAATCTCTGTGTCAAGGATTGCCTTTCTTATACTAATCTATATTTTACAAGAGGTTCACCATGATACGAAAGACGTGATGATGGCCTCATGGTGACCTGCTTATATAATCTCTATCAAGAATTACCTTTCTTATACTAATCTATATTTTACAAGACTGCTTTCTAAGAATAAAATTTCTAATGAACTTAAGATTAACTTTCGATTATAAATCTCATCTAGATGGCATCTCCTGCCCCACGATAACTAGTTCTAGAGGTTTATCAATAAACTAACAGCTCAAGTTCTCCTGACCTTATTAATCTTTTTACTGGTTACAGTCTAGAATGCCAGCTTGTACAACGTAGTGGAAAGAAATTGCTTGCCGTTTATAGCCAGAGTGCCAGCTACTGACAGCATGTTGTTACTACAATAACACACAATCCTTCTAACGATACATTGTTACTACAGTAACGCCACCATTCTTTTGACGATATATTGTTAGTACAGTAACACCACCACCATTCTTCCAACAGCATATTGTTACTATAGTAACACCACCATCCTACTGACACCCTATTGCTACTATAGTAACACCACCGTCCTACTGATGGCATATTGTTAATACAATAATACACCACCTTTCTAACGATATATTCTTACAACAGTAACACCACCATTTTTCTGACATATATTATTACTATAGTAACACCACCGTTTTACTGACAGCATATTATTATTACAGTTACACAACTATTCTTCTAATATACGTTGTTACTATAGTAACACCACCGTTCTACTGACACCATATTGTTATTACAGTTACACAACCATTCTTCTAATATACGTTGTTACTATAGTAACACCACCGTTCTACTGACAGCATACTGTTATTACAGTTACACAACCATTCTTCTGACATATATTATTACTACAGTAACACCACCGTTTTACTGACAGCATATTATTATTACAGTTACACAACCATTCTTCTGACATATATTATTACTACAGTAACACCACCGTTTTACTGACAGCATATTGTTATTACAGTTACACAACCATTCTTCTAATATACGTTGTTACTATAGTAACACCACCGTTCTACTGACACCATATTGTTATTACAGTTACACAACCATTCTTCTAATATACGTTGTTACTACAGTAACACCACCATCCTACTGACAGCATACTGTTATTACACTTACACAACCATTCTTCTAACATACATTGTTACTGTTGTAATACCACTTTCTTACTGACATGGTTACTTACACATGGTTACTACAGTAACACTCTATCATCCTTCTAACAGCATATTGTTATTACAGTGACATTACCATTCTTCTGGTGACATACTGTTACTATAGCAACGCACTACGTTTTAACAGGAAACTGTTACTAAACAAAGATTACTAAAATGTTTACAGGAATGTCCTTCAGGAATGGTAAAGGAAGAAGCCTTCAAAGGAATCTACGCTCAGTTTTTCCCACGAGAGAGCGACACTAGTCAGTATGCCCACTACGTTTTCAACACGTTTGACCAGGATCACAGTGGTTCAATAACATTTAATGTAAGTTTATACTATTGACTGTAACTTATCTAAGTATCCAAGTCTGATTAACGTGTTTATGTAATATCCAAATGTGTCTGTCACGCTCTGTATTTTCTGTACAATTAATCGTGTATATATATATCAAAGTGTTTATTATAAAGAGTACATTACAGGAAAATTATTCCTTTTCTGTAATTCCTAAAATTTCATAATGATATCAACATCAATCCATCAATCTTCGTATGTACTTAACAGTCAATCTGAAAAAAAAAAAACTTTATTAAGGACAAAAATGTTTTTTTGTCAGGGAATTTTGCGAATTGTGATTGAATGAAATATTTACAAGGTAGGAGCATGAACGGGAAGAACGCATTAAGGGAGGAATGTGTTTTGAGAATGTATTTATTGTTCTTCGGTATATATATATTTCGTCTCAGTTCTATATACATGCATGATTTTACTGTAACATGTCGAATAAATTGATTTGAATTGAAATGAATATCTCCCCTTTGACACTTCTTATAGAAATGACAACCGTCAAAAAACGCTCACGTCGATAGTGGTCTTTTCTTGCGCTCAGTAAAATGACAAGGAATTGTGGCATCGAGCGGAAAAATCCCCACGTCTATTTATAGCGAACCTGAGTATTCTGTTGTGCTGGATGCACCCATTTTATCTAAACCCAAACAATTTTGCGAACAATGCATTACAGTAAGTCTACTTTGCTTACAAACAAACGCAATTTTCCTTATTGAAAGAACACATGGAACGACAAAAGAAGGTTGTAAACGGCCCACTAGACAATCATATTGCATATACGCCTTGGTTCACTGCACATTTTATATATATTTATCCCTATTTCCAGGAAAATTACTGTTGAATTGTTTCAACGGGCATCTGTTAGTATGATAATTTTTTAAATCGTTCACAGGATCTTGTCGCAGGATTGTCTATCTTATCCCGTGGGACAGTCCAAGAAAAACTTAGATGGGTCTTCAATTTGTATGACATAAATGGCGACGGTTACATCACTAAGGACGAGCTGTCCAGAATCATCAGTTCTGTGTACGACCAGACGGGAAGACCAGTTGATCCACTCGTTGACGACCGTGCGACAAAGGAGCACGTGGAACGGGTATTTCAGGTAATGATTGTCCTGGTTACTACGTTAAAACAAAGCTAAGTTCTACAACAACACCAAGACTAGAGAACAGGTAGAATCGGTATTTCAGGTAATGATCGTCCTAGTTACCAGGTAACAAACAAAGCTAAGTTCTACAACAACACAAAGACTAGAGAACAGGTAGAACCGATATTTCAGGTAATGATCGTCCTAGTTACCAGGTAACAAACAAAGCTAAGTTCTACAACAACACCAAGACTAGAGAACAGGTAGAACCGATATTTCAGGTAATGATCGTCCTAGTTACCAGGTAACAAACAAAGCTAAGTTCTACAACAACACCAAGACTAGAGAACAGGTAGAACCGATATTTCAGGTAATGATCGTCCTAGTTACCAGGTAACAAACAAAGCTAAGTTCACATTTATCTATGTTTAAGAATCTCTTTACTTAACGGATTTGTAAAATTATTTACTTCAATATTTTATTTGAATTGTTTCCAAAACGTTTAATAGAGAAGGGTTATTTAACGTTGTTACTCGGAACTACAAGTTATATAATTTAATTCGAAACAAATACACGTTAAAACACATGAAGCTACTGTAATCTTGATAAATCATTTCTTGCTTTAACTACCAGAATTAAATAAAAAGTTCCGTGTATAGCCCTACGCTTGAGACACAACATTAAGCGAGGAACCGTTGGTTAATGAAAGTCCTAAAATATATGATTTAAAGATTTTTTTTGTAAATAGAGGAAACCATGTGGACAAACTAATTAATATCAACAGCATCGCAGAACTTCATAAGGCTTTCTTATTCACCATCGGAATTTAGTATGCAAACGTTAAGGCAGATATAGAATTGGACAGCCATCACTTTGACGTGTGAAATTAAATTGAACCAGAGTACAGCCACGTAGTGATATTTTAAACTGTGACTGGTTGTCATCCAGCCAACCAGAAGGTGATAGACCAGTACAAAGTCTATAAAAGTCATATTATACCCGGTAATAGTAACATAAGTGATTCCAGTCTTGGCTCCTAGGGCTGAAACACCGCATGACAAGCGTGCAGAAATACTTTGACGAATGAACACTGCTTCTGTCGATAAGAGATGTGGTCAAGGAAGAAAACCTTCATGTTATTTATGAAACAGACGACAGTCGAGTACAGACCTTACCTTGCTGTAAATACAGGTGTGAATAATACCTGGAATTGAGAGATACAAATCAGCTCAAAATGGTAACAATGGACATGTAGCTGCACAAAAACAAACCAGAAGATTGAGTCGTTGCCATGGTTACTAGCCTATACGATCAACTAAGTGTAATTATAAACTAGTAACTTTTTTCGTTATTTTATCTATATATTTTATTGATTTACTTTAAAACTAGAGACTAATTAGTTTTATTCTACGTTACATTTTGGTTACTAACATACTCCAAGTAAATCATAAGATGGCCTATTCTGGTTTGGTAGTGGCCGAGTTTCGATCCTGGGTTTTCTTGTATGGTGCAAACGTGGTGAAACGATACCTTGAACTCGCAAGAGGTCAGTTGAACACTCACAATTATGGTCATATGGGTTTATATAAAAACTAACAAGGTGACCAAACAATTTGGCTGGACTATGGAGAGCAATAAAAGAAATTACACGATTTGTATGACAGTATGAAAACAAGTTAATGCTGTTATAAAACACTGGAGCAATACATTCGCTTCCACTTTGTATTTCCTGTGATAATTAATGAATTCCACATGTTGTTGTGACTTCTGTATGTGTATTGCTGTGTGTTTACATAATTCTTCTCATTACATTATATCGTCCGTTTCATTACAGAAACTAGATCTTAATCAAGACGGAGTGGTCACCATTGACGAGTTTCTTGATTCGTGTACACAGGTAAACATTGGTTGTGTATAGATAGAATTCATAAACATCTAACTCTTGCTTAGCAACCATACAACAATAGTTTCTACCTAACAATTAATGTAGATTAATATACAGATAAATCTATTACTACCATAGCAACTAATATAAATTAATACGAAGCTAAACCTACCTTCTGTGTTAACTTTTCTATTTGCCTTAGTTATGAGTCCGCAAAAATAGTGGATCATATAAATCCAAACTATTAGAAGTAAAAACAAAAACAAAGGGCTCTAAATAAATTGACCTCTTTCTTTCTTTTGTAATTTTTACCAGGATGAGAATATCGCAAAAGCAATTGGTTTTTTCGACACCGTACTGTGACATTCCAACATCGAAGTTCCCCAGAATACTTACTGTTGTCGTCAGGTTGAAGTACTATAGCTCTAGTAGCACATTGGTGCCTCCGTAGAATGATGAAATTCTGTACATCAACATGGATGTTTAAACCTGTATGTGTGTGTGTACGTGTGTATCTTTAAATACTTGTTGAAATTCTGACCAAAACGTTTCCTTTAAATGAGAAGCGGAATCCATCACCACTGTCTCTGTTGGCGACAGATAATGTCATGGCGTCGGTTAAATCCCACGGCGAAACGACATACGGCGCATGAATTGAAACAAAAGAAACTTCTATACATATACTTTTAACATTTAACGGTCAGATAGCTTATATATCCGTAAATAAATGTTGTAAAAATAGATCACAGAAAATAACACTTTTGTGCAAGAAGAAAAAGCAGACTTTTCAATTTAGTAGCGCCATCTTTTAACGAAGTAAATAAGAAAATCCACAGTAATATATCATGGATGCTCATAAAGATGGATCTCTGGAATAGTTTTTGTTTTTTACGCAAAGCTATACAATGGCCCAGCTGCGCTCTGTCCACCACGGGGGATTAAACTCCGGATTTCAGCGTTGTAAAATCGTAAACTTACCTTTGACCCTCTGGGTGACTAGCCGAACAGAGATTTACTTACAGAAAAAAATCATCAACGCTGGATTGAAATCAAAAGTGGTTCTTGGCAAAAAGTATCTTTAAGTTAATATACTCTTTTTGAAATTAAAACTTACTTAATATTTTTTTAGGATCCGTAGTGTATTTCGTATAATAACATATATACGATCCTTCCTGAAGTTGTTAGATGAGCTTAAAACTGAAAACGAAATCATCAACGAATTTGGTTGCGTCTCTTCACTACAGTTGTCGTACGACAATAAACAAAAGTTTCGTCAGAGATAAAATGTTTACCAGTAACTCATTAGACGTTAAATGTTTGTTTATTTGTAATTAAGCACAAAGCTACACAATGGGCTATCTGTGCTCTGCCCACCACGGGTATCGAAACCCGGATTCTAGCGTTGTAAGTCCGCAGACATGCCGCTGTGCCACTGGGGGGCGACGTTAAATAGCATGTCATGTCACAGCACGTTTGTCTCGAAACTGAAGCTATTTAACACAAACTTAAGATGTAAAGAGTTATTAAAATGTTTTCTCGTCAACTCATGTAAGTAACACGATAATGATGATATTACAGGAGAAAATAGTTTGTTGAACAGATGAAACTTCTTTTAACTGAAATAACTGTGCAGAAGTAAAACAAACAATATTTACAATTTCTTCGGAAAATCTATAAAAAAAACAAACGTTTACAAACATTATCAATTCACAGAAAGGTTCTTCTCTTATCCTTTCTTGCCCATTTTTCGATGCCGCCATCTTGAATGGTATCCAATTCGGAAGGTTTATAGCTAGCTGTCCAGAAAAAGACACAAAGTTGTCAGTTGGAGACTGACCGTTTAAAGTGTGAACATATGTAGTTTTGGTAGCCACTTCGATCACCTTAGAAACCCACGTGGTACATAATACTATAGTTTCTTTACGGTATACGAGTTACCATAATATCAGTTCAGTTGTTTTTTATATTTAAGCTGAAAAAAAGAAGGTTTGGTTGTTGTATTGAAAAAGCTATAGTAACTAATCCATCTTGAAGTGGTCTGTGATCCACAAATGGGAATCAAAGGTATTTGTACACAGTTCCTGTAATCCCACCACTAAACGGACTTTTAATCAGTTCCCCATACACAAAGTGATTTGGCGTGCTTTACAACAGAAAATCCAGCAACAGAAACAAATATAATATCGTGTTTGTTTGATTTTTGTACACCGACGTTTATGTATTAATCTTATACCAGAATATACCTAATATATTTAAAATATCCAAATATTTTAATTTTTCTTTAAAGTCAGTTGATTACTCTCGGTTTTTTTCGAAATAAAATAGGTCAGAAACAATAAGTTGTATTTTGTCATTATTTCGAAAGTGAAATTTAATGGCGCAATTAATTGAATGTATTTTATTTCAGATTTCTGAGTTGAACTATTTTTTTCAAACAAATATTTTCGGCAGATGATTTTTTACGTATTACACATTAAAGTCGTCATTCAAGCTGTTTCTAAGCAACTGAAACGTTAAACAACTTCTAACAAGTTGAGTTAATAACGCATGTATTAAATTTAAAAATCCCCTTTTTTAAATATAAGTCGTAATATTTCATGGAAAACGCTTAATCGTGTTATTTTCACGATTTTTTGTTCACAAAAATAGACTCTTACCGGGGATAATGACTTGCGATAATATATAAAGTTGATTCTAGTCTATTAATTTTAGGCCCGATTAGAGTTCATGAAGACACGATAATATTAGTCCAAGCTATTTTTATGAGGTCTCTGCTTACTAACTGGACTATATAATATACTGACATCGCCAAACAATTAATTCACATTGAATAGCGTCAAGCTCTGCCATAAACGGTGTAGGAATATTGCTCAAAAATCTCATGAGATGGCGCCACGTGTTTCGATATTTATTTAATGCAATTTATTTTCGTTTAAATATAAATTGTTTCATATGTGTTTGTAGATTAATTTGTTTTTATTCGCAATCTAACGGGACTTAGTGAACTGAAAATGTGCCATTAATTTTATTATATGTTCTCTTAATTCAGAGTTTGTTATCTGTTTATTATCGTATTTTCTAACTACACACATAACTTCGTTACTTGGGTATACTATAAACATTAATTTTTATTTTGTATTTTTCTCTAACAATAAAAGCTCTACTCTGTAATAAGAATTATAATTGTTTTCTTTATTATTAACTCTATAACCAGCCCACACACACAAAACCTTTCCTCTTGTGCTACTTATTGGAAGAGTTCAGGAATTTATTTTTATATTGGAATTAAATTTTGTGTCACACATAAGTGACGTATATTAGTGTGCGAAATTTGAGCCCTACCTTTACTACTAGCAAGAGACCACTGTAACTTATCTCCCTCTATGTCAAAATACCTTCTCCCAGTCACATTATTGAATTCACATTTGTATTGAACGAGTAGTGTAAATTATAACAATACAAATTCATTACCTTACATTTACTGAACTAAAAGGTCCATTCTAAACTTTAAACGCATTTATCTAAAATATTTATTCACTAAATTCGCCCAAAAATATACGAATCGCACAAAAACGCTAAATAACGCAATAAATCCCAATAATTACTGTTAGCATCACCTATGTATTTATAATAGAAACCAGTGATTACACCGAATTGTTCGATAATGGCGACAGATTTTCATTGTCACTCTAGTGTTAAGGATACAACACTCTATGAAATCACCATATGTATTTAACTTAGAAACTAGTGATTAAACTCAATTGTTTGGTAATTTCTTTACATCGAATATTGCAAGATCAAAGCTTAAAACTACACACGTTATTGCCACTTGTAGTGAATGCTATAGAAACAAGCCAAAGTTTTGAGAATTAATCACGTCACAGTCCAGTTTCTTTGCACCCAAGACCATTATTTGAAATGAATTTTATACGTCTTGATAAAAACGTTAATACGCTCACTAAACACTACTTAATAACTAAGAATGTAATAACAGGTAATTCATCTCAAACGTACGGACTCGCGGCATCACGAAAATGAGTAGAAATAGGTCTCGCCATCTGTCGGTAAATAACAGCAGTTATGGAATAAGTATTAATTGCTTATCTATTTATGTTTCTCACTGATAACCGACGTTTGCTATGTTAACAATGTAAAAATAAATTTTCACACAAATATTAGTATCCCCATCTTTTAATTTTCTACAAACTACGGAAAGCATATAAAATATTCCCTACTACATATGTATAATATTTTTTGTATTTATTTTACATAAATATTGCCATGCTCCATGTATAGTAAAAATATACCTGAAACGTTATTGTTTTAATATTATTGAGTAATCATTTCAGGTTATTCGTAAATTAAACTTTATATGTTTGTCGTCTGTACCAATATTTGTCCCATTATTCGTAAATACATTCAATTGAATACAGAACTCTGTATTTAAGCTGGAATTTCAGAATGTTTCTCTGGGTTATTCCGAGCACCAAATATAGTACTTCCTATACGAACGTTTGTACTTCCAACTTCAATCTACGAAAAAGATAAGACACCAGTGTCAAAAAACTAGCAGTTTGATTATAAAATGTATTCATAAAATCTACACTATATATTTACGATAATACACTCATCTTAAATAGTTAAATTCAATACAGACCTATTGTAAGACTTGAAACTAAATTGAGAATGCTTTATAAACACTTCACAGTTCACAATAGAGACATGCATATGTTAAAAACATACCAAATGGTGTTTACTTGTTACTTCTAGTTATTTCATTCAAAATTATATTGGTGTTTTAAATATTTTTACCACTATTTTCGTGGCCATTCTGGATAAGTATCATCTTGGAAAGCTTATAACCTACCCAAAGATTACATTCAGCTCCACTACCTCTCAGCTACATTACATTGAGCTCCACTACCTCTCAGCTACATTACACTGAGCTCCACTACCTCTCAGCTACATTACACTGAGCTACACTGTTTCTCAGCTACACTACCTCTCAACTACATTACATTCAGCTCCACTACCTCTCAGCTACATTATATTCAGCTCCACTACCTCTCAGCTACATTACATTCAGCTCCACTACCTCTCAGCTACATTATATGCAGCTCCACTACCTCTCAGCTACATTACATTCAGCTCCACTACCTCTCAACTACATTACATTCAGCTCCACTACCTCTCAGCTACATTATATTCAGCTCCACTACCTCTCAGCTACATTACATTCAGCTCCACTACCTCTCAGCTACATTATATGCAGCTCCACTACCTCTCAGCTACATTACATTCAGCTCCACTACCTCTCAACTACATTACATTCAGCTCCACTACCTCTCAGCTACATTATATTCAGCTCCACTACCTCTCAGCTACATTATATTCAGTTCCACTACCTCTCAGCTACATTATATTCAGCTCCACTACCTTTCATCTACATTACATTCAGCTCCACTACCTCTCAGCTACATTTTATTCAGCTCCACTACCTCTCAGCTACATTATATTCGGCTCCACTACCTCTCAGCTCCATTATATTCAGTTCCACTACTTCTCAGTTACTTTACATTCAGCTCCACTACCTCTCAGCTACATTATATTCAGCTCCACTACCTTTCATCTACACTACATTCAGCTCCACTACCTCTCAGCTACATTACATTCAGCTCCACTACCTCTCAGCTACATTATATTCAGCTCCACTACCTCTCAGCTACATTACATTCAGCTCCACTACCTTTCATCTACACTACATTCTGAGTAAAATGAACAAATATAAAACAAAACATACCGCATGTTCAAAATCTCCAGACATTCCCATGCTTAGTTCAATACTGTTTACATCCAAGCCAAAATGAATGCAAGTTTCATTTGCACATTTGATCAGATGTTGAAAATCTGGATTAGGTCCTAAGGAAAGGTCGTGGTAAAGTGATCCTATGGTCATTAAACCAGCAAAATCTAGGCTTGGACAGTTACCCAGGATGTGACCGACCAGATAGCACACTTGATCAGGGTCTACACCAGTCTTACCTATAAATGTTCTATAATCAAACTTGTATTTATAATTGAATAAGTTGTATTATTACAGAAATATTAGTAACATATAACTGGACATGCATTTTTGTAATCATTATACTAAAAATAAATCAAAATATTCAAATTATAACACTGTCCCCCCAAAAAATAAAAACACCAATTTTCAATAACATTTCTAATGACCCATTTCAGTATGGAAGGTTTGTAAAGGACTAAATATACATTTAAAAACTAAACACTGATTCTATCCAATCAGCTGAGTATAAAAGTCAGTTTTTATCTAGATTTTAAAAGTGAAGGATATAATACTAGCTTTTAAAGCCAAGGCGAACTTGTAAAAAATAAAATGGAACCAATCAAAGAATTTTACAAAAAAGTTGCAGAAGAAACTTAGTTTATTCTCATCCAATTCATTTTAACTTCTACCTGCACTATGTGTTTCTTTGTTACCCTACTTACTCTGCTCCCCCCACTTGTGTCAACTTCTACCTGCTATGTGTTTCTTTGTTACCCTACTTACTCTGCTCCCCAACTTGTGTCACCTTCTATCTGCACTATGAGTTTCTTTGTTACCCTACTTACTCTGCTTCCCCACTTGTGTCACCTTCTATCTGCACTATGAGTTTCTTTGTTACCCTACTTACTCTGCTTCCCCACTTGTGTCAACTTCTATCTGCACTATGAG